TTTTCTCTATTGCTCCAACCAACTTTTTATCCACTTCCTTCATTTCAGAATTCTTATCTTGGTTCACCTTGCACGGCTGGCTACGTACGATGCGAAAAAAATCTTCTTGGTTCTTTCGGTAAAGTCACGTAGAATGGAAATAATTAAATAATAAAAATAAAACATCATAAAATAATTATCACGACGTTTCGGCCACAACGCAAGCAGCCGTCCTCAGGTGAAGAACAGGTCTGATTCAGACTCTGTCTTCTCGACAGACCTGTTCTTCACCTGAGGACGGCTGCTTGCGTTGTGGCCGAAACGTCGTGAGAATGATTTTATTATGTTTTATTTTTATTATTTTATTATTTCCATTCTACGTAACTTTACCGAAAGAACCAAGAAGATGAATCCCTGCAGTCACGAAAGCTTTAAATCGAAAAGATACGAAAGAAGTTCAACATAATACGTGCATGCCTTCAGCGGAACCTGGTACGTCATTAAAAGTGATATAGCAACGTGCCAAAAGGGGAGCTTTTGAATTCGCCTAAATAAATGTTTTGGCTTACCGAGTAAACCAAACGGTTAAATCTTCTTGGTTCTTTCGGTAAAGTCACGTAGAATGGAAATAATAAAATAATAAAAATAAAACATAATAAAATATGTTTTATGGAAATAATAAAATAAGAAAGATTTTACGTAATAAAATATTACGTTTTATGTTTATTATTTTATTATTTCCATTCTACGTGACTTTACCGAAAGAACCAAGAAGATGAATTCCTGCAGTCACGAAAGCTTTAAATCGAAATCAAACGGTTAAAACTAAACATGATGTGCAACGCGAAAGTTGACGGTGGTTTGGGGAGGCCTTCATCCAGCAGTGGACTGACTACGGCTGATGATGATAGTGTAACGTTACAGCTGGTAATTAGGTGTAATGGTTGGGGGGGTGGGATTGTAACTGTGGTCTCATGAGGACAAACAATAAGGCCGTCGAAATATCGTGTGGATGCCAATTCACCGTTCCTTGAGACAACGTTGGGTGTTTACATTTACTGCAACATTAATGTTCAGACTCTTGGGAGAGACAAAAGCCCTCCTTTGGACCGGCCCCGAGTGATAGTGCTGTAAAATAATCACGCTAAGGAGAGGCTCCTGCTTGACCGGGTGCTGTCAGTTTCTGCCGCTCAAGAAAAGTTGATGCGATTTCACGATGCCTCTGAGGCTCAGCAAATTTGTACGGTGTTAAACTGTTTTGTTATATATATAAAAATGTGCACCTTGTGATGGCTAAGCATTGCAATAAGAGGAAGCTGACATGGTTGGGGGCAAACATTAAACGAAGGCTGCTTTCACACTGGTTGGCAAAGTAAAAAAAAATGTGCAGAAGCTCACAATGTAAATTTGCATACACTGTACATTCTTGTCCATGTGCAGATGTGTGGATATTTTGCGTGCATTTTTAACACAACGAATGTGGCGTGGGCCTGTGATCCAGCACACCGTGGAGGCGAGGGCTTTTGGATCACACAAATCTTGTGAAACTCCCTTGCCGTGGATGGCGGGGATGTGATATAAACAGACTTTCCAGAAGATGGTAACAACAGTCCGTGTGAGATTGAGCGTTTTCCTCTCACGCGCGTAGGCTTTCTCTGGATGCTCCGGTTAGCTTCTCGTGTAAACGCCCTCAAATTGGCCGAAAACATCTTAACATATAGGGGACCGCAGAGCTTGGGAAATTCTTGGCGCCGGATCGCCGTCCGGCTGCCTTTCCTGCTCGTTTGTGGCTCCTCGCGCCTCCGAGTTGTTTTCTCTCTCTCTCTTTTCGAGAGAGTGCGTGAATATTGAGCGGCATGTTAGAGGTTCCAATTGTTATTCCACATTCACGTTTACCGAGGAAAACTCTCACCGAGTCTCGTGACACTTTTCAGGAGAGTCCTGCTTGGGGACGTTTGAACACTTGCTTTATCAGGTGCTAATACGTGAGATAAAGTGTGTATGGAGAAAACGTACGTGTAACGGAAGATAATAGCAAACATGTCAAAGGTGCAGCCCCTGCAATTGCTTGTTCATGCCACTGTTGGCTTAAGGGCTACCCACTCTTCTAGGACGCTCTAACATCTTGGAAGACGTGGGATTACCCACACGCAACCTGCCGCTCGAATGTCTGCGGTGAACACATTTACACCGCTGGATGGACAGATGCCCGTGGCGGGGGGGGGGTAGTTTAAGAAAATTGCTCTATTGTTTTAACTGCCACGCCAGGAGGTCAAAGTGAACCGGTGACCTTTGGATTGAAATTCCAGCCTTCTGACCATTATACACCGTATAGCAGCAGCCCGATCGGCAGATAACACTTCAAAACCTACATAATCGTGAGCAACCTACTTGCTGAAACCGTACATCCTCATACAGGCCACATCATTGCGACGCAAGTGGGTGCCCTCGAGGTCCACGATGTATCTCGATGCGATCCGCTAACTCCCACCTCCAACAGCACCGTGTCACACTATTGGGCGCGTTACCATGACCCAGAAACCGTGAACACGTCGTGTGTGTGTGTGCACGCGCTTGTCTGCTGCTGCTGCTGCAACGTTGAGACTCGTTGAGACGTTGCAAAAGCGGTGCAGTGCTGCAAGTGTTCCAGTTCTGTTCGGACACTTTTATCGGCGTGCACAGCGCACACACACACACACACACCACACACACACCACACACACCACACACACACACCACACACACCACACACACCACACACACCACACACACCACACACACCACACACACCACACACACCACACACACCACACACACCACACACACCACACAAACACCACACACACACACCACACACACAAACGAGAGGCATGCCCGTTGGCATATAAGGGCGGCGCCACCGCAAAATTCTTCCCATGCCATCCTTTTAGCTCCGTCAAACAATCTTTGCGAGTTAGGGAATTGCGAAAGGAATATGAACGTGTCCGAGAGACGGGAGTTCTGCGGGTTTTAGAGGGTGTCTCAATCGGGTGTTGCGAGGTGCCAGTCTCAATTGGCGGCCCTGAGCGAGTGGTGACAATTGCACATTCCTTTGGCTGGAGCTAATTCTTTCTCGAGGGCAAAAACTTTCACGCCCCCCAAAAAAACGGTGTTCATTTTTGCCCGTACGAGGATGATGGTCTGACGGCGACTTTGCATTGAAATTAGAACCTTCCAATTATTCCCACCTCGATTGAGTAAGTACATCGTAATATTTGTTTTACCTCGATTGCGTATTGCTACTAAGCTTACGTAAAGGGCAAAGATGTTTCACACTGCAGGCTGCACTGTAGCATAATAAATCAATTCAGCTGATGAACTATCCCTGAAGGGTCAAAGTAACAACATCGAAGGGCTGTTTTGTGGGCGCGGTTTTCTCTGAATTGATAACAAAAAAACACATTTCAAATCTCAGCCTCTTTATCGCTTCTCCGTGACGCAGCTTTTGTGAAACAAGACACCGAAAACATGTTTTACTACCACAAGAACAGCCCGGTTTGAGATGCGAATGGCCGCAGCACTGTACAAGACACAATTCAGTCAAAAGTCCATTTTCTCCATGAGAACTTCCTCCAACGCAGACCACAATTACGTCTGTTCTCTAAAACGGCTCTTTATGAAAGCAATTGAAAAAGAAACCCACGCGATTTGCAGGAAGCAATAACTGCGCACTGCAAACATTTTTTTTTAAATACCCATCTGGAGCCAACGCTCGCAGTGTCGCCTTCAAACGAAGATACAACATTCATTCGCAGATTTGTCAAAGCAGAAAGTAGCCTCGTACAAGCTCATTCAATTACGGTTAAATGCATGTATAGCATGTTTTTATTCAATTTTATGCACAAAGGATTAATTAGGTTTCGATTGAAGTGTTTTACACCAATAGACTCATACTATCGTATTCAATGTTCCGTATCAGTATCATTCTATAATATACAATATACAATGAGAGAGGTGAATGATGCCGTTTAAAAGGTGGTACGATTCGCCTACGTACGTCTGCTATTTGTTTCTACAAAGAAGCGAAGCTAATGCATTTTTTTTTGCTTTAAATAAAATAAAACAATATAAACATTACCCGTACGCGCATAATACGCACGCACGCGTGCGTATCTAGACTGCACACGATGCACATACACGCTCTTCGGAACAAATAAGACACAGGGACAGATATTAAAACTGATCTGCTGGTTCAATGCAGAGGCTCATTTAGTGGATGCACCCTGACCTGTAATAATGTCAATGGACAGGAAGCTGGGGAAATTATTCCAAAGAACAAATGGACAACGCACGGAGCGCTCTCTTCAAAGCCGCAACAACCGTGTGTTGTATGTAACTCAGGGTTGCGATGTCGTGGTGAGCGTGGCGAGCTGTAGTGTAGCGGTCAGCGCGCTGCGCTGCGAAACCGGCGTTCCTGAGTTCGATTCCCGTTCACGGCCAGCACCAGTGGCGATTATCTGAACCTGTCACGAGCCTCCCCTAGGTCGACTTAGCCTTAATTGAGGTACCCGGTGAGGTGTGTAAACATCGCCACTTGGGAGACAAAGGCGGTCGGGCGTGGGTGCTGGCCCACCCACCCCCCTTCGTGTGCTCGCTAACAGCTTTTGATGAAGGTCGCGTCTATCAGCTGTGGACGAAGCGGCATGGGTGTTGATGCACCCAAACAGATCAAGCCACCGAGTGGTCATTGAGACACCCCTCCAAGAGGAAGCTGCGAGAACGAAGGTGGAATATGCAGTTTGTAACAGCAAAAATACAAGAAATATATATTTTTTACAGTATAGAGGAAAGACATAAACCGCAAACTTAATTATATGAAACTTAATTACATGAAATATTAAAGTAAATCACTATGATGATATTATCATGTCCAATTAACATGACACTGATAAACGCATTAACAACACACACACATATGTTGGTCGTAGTCTGTGTGGGTTGAGAGAGAGAGTATTGCGATCTCCCACACAGCGTGCGCGTACCTCGAAACGTCACCCGGGCAATCCGGTCCGCTTTGCCCCGAAGCTTCTCCACCCGCTTCAGATGAACCACGAGAGCCATCGCGTACCACCGTCTTCAGCCTTTGACGGCCGCGTGCACTCGAGACTTGAAGCGAACCACACAGCGCAAGCTGCCACCCCCCCACCCCAAGCTCTCCGCACACGCAGAGAGGCTGACCGGCGCTCAGCTGACTGCGGGCATTCTCATTGCACCGAGCGATGATTTTTTTTTTGCCAGTGACACTCCACACGGAGCCACACGGAGTACGAACGAGAACCCTTTTTGCGTGCACGACGCCTGGCCGCTATAAAAAAAAAAATAATAACACCGTGATGTTATTATTATTATTTTTTGGGGGTGGTAAAACAAATGAATAATCAATTGCCCGCGCGAAGCGTTTATTTGACGGCGATGCTGCTTAGCTGGATGACTGTTACGGTGAACTGCTGCTGCTGGAATGTGTGAGCGGCACACATGGAAATGGTGGTGTGTGTGTGTGTGCTTTTATGGCTGAGTGCACGCTCCCCTTAGCGTGCGCGTGTGTGTGGGGTGGGGGGACTGTGTGTGTGTGGGATGTGGGTGGAGGAGACACAAGCCCAGCCCATACAGGTGTAACCAGTCAGGCAGCTCAGTACCGCAGTGTGGGACAAACCAGACTGCAAACACCGGACAATAAATACAGCGTGAATGAAGCAACCCCTCCCACCTCCCCCCCGTTGCCTTGCTGGCATGAGCATCCCTCAATTGACTGTTTCCCCGAATGCGGTCCGCGAATGATTGACACGACAAATGCACCAGTGTACGGAGCATTAATATAGCACACGTTCGTAAACATATGATTGATTGATGCCCTTATTGAACACGACATAACCCCCCCTTTGAGAGTGGTTCATTCTGAGACAAATCGCACCAAATAATGGAATTAAATGGGATGACTGTTAGAGAGGCAATGTATGTGTAGTGACATAGAATGGGTCACTACGGCGTGTAGCGCTGGTTACTGGTAGAGAGCGGGATCACGGATGTAATAGCCCGGTCCACCAGCAGGGCAGGTGAAGTGTGCCACTGGAGCCAGCAGTGAAGGCATTTGAGGATACAGCGGCCGGTCTGCCAGTAGGGCACGTGTTAGGCACGGGTGAAGGGTAAAGGTGACAGAGGGGACACGTGGGGCAGAGCCCAGAACCTTCTGGTAGGTTCCAAAAGCGGGCGTGGTCGAGGTCCACGCTGGGGAGGATAAAAGGGAGGCCCCGACGCTGGGGCAGGGCTGCTGCTTTTTGGGAATGGAACCTGTCGTCTTCACAAGTCTTCGTTCCCGTTTTCACCTCCTCGTCGGTGTTGGGTCAGGCAGCGTGCCGGCTGTCCTGACCCATATATAGTTATCCGCTATATTGTGGAAAGTGTATAATGAACGTGTATGAATCCTACTATTAGTGTCTCTGAAGTTACTCACTACATATGTATAGGGCAGGATGGAGTACTTCTGTCCAATTAAATTTGATAATGAAAAGCAACATAAAGATTCCAGCTGGGCAGTATTCATGACTTCTCGCCTGGGATTGTGATTCCAATCTTAAAATGTCATATTTGATTCCTGGAGGGAGCAGAATTGTGAAATTGTGGGGCGGTCAGACTGGGGAAATCAAGATGTGACATTCAGGTAAGAAGGGGTGGGGAGGGGTGTCCATGCAGGCCTGGTCAGCCTTGTGGAATCGCTATTGCAATGTACGGCTGATGCTTTTGTGATTTGTTTCTATGGTGATTCTAGCTGATACCGGCCGGCTGGTATGGACCCTAATACAGCCGGTTAAATGGCCACTCGTGTATGTTTTAACGTAGGAATTGCCCACCGACTAGAATTTTAATTCGTGCAAAAATCGTCTGGGGTGGAATTGTAGGAATCCACAGGGGTTTTTTTTCTATAGCAAGAACTACTTTTAATCAGAGCATATTATCTGCCATGCCATTTGGATCAGAAACATGAATTAAAAACCCTAAAAAGTGTTCACATAAGCTTAAATAGGTGCAAGTTTGGAATTAGACTGAGATTCTAGCCCCTCCAAAAAAAAATCAGTTCCAAATAATTGATACGAGAGATACAATTAAGAAAAGCAAATGGGCTTGGGTAGACCCATGATGGAGGTTTTTTGGGTTAGATCGCGTAATAAATAAATAAACGTCTCGTTAAACCCGCCACCACCCGACACAGCCAACTAGTAAAGGTTTTGTCACGTAAACAGAACGTGGTCAATTCGTCACTAGTGCAGCACACCGGTTGTGTTGGGAGAGCAAAGCCACGACATTTACAATCTGAGTACGACGTTTCGCCAGTAATTACAATTAGCTTCATCAGGCGACAGACATATTCGTGGAGACATCCTCCTGGGCTTGGGTAGCCTCACATTGCTAAAAGGGACAATAGTTAGGCAAACGAGGAAACGCGCCTGGGGGGGCGGGGGGGGGTGACCTCTGTGGAGGTTGAGTGGCGATGGCTCATGAGACGACGGATTGTGATATTGCAGGCGAATGGCTATGACATGTGGAGGCCGTAATCGAGCAGTGAATAGACCATGGCTGATTATGCCGTCATTTGAAGATTGCTATCTACATCCACGTGAATATAGTAAATTGATGGCCACTGTATCTACGTAAATATGTACTGTATAATGCTGAAGATAATATCCAGTTCTCAGTGCTGATTAATAATCCTTTTAACCCATTCACCGAGTGGAAAAGGTCTTCATCCAGCAGCGGATTGACAAAGGGTTGTCCAACATCATCATCATCATTTATGAATGGGGTGAAAATAAATCAAATCTGCGTGTTGCATGTTACAGAGACACATGCACTGAACATCTGTAATCATATGCATCTGTAGTATAGAAAGTGCCTTAATGAGCTGCATTACAGCCTCATTCATTATGCATACAAGAGTTCGCCAGAGTGCTGAGTACATTTCTAGACACATGCATGTAAAAAGAAATCCCCATTTACCCCTGCAGACTGTTGGAGCCAGTGCTTTTAGTTGAACCCCGTACCGAGTCTAGTGCTGCACTTTAGGGCGTGATTGGTCTACCAATTGCTCATATTGCCTGCTGTACCAGATCGTAATTGTAGGCTGAATCAACCGAGGGGAGGACGGGGTACAGGGCCAGATACAAATCCACAGTAGCCAGGAAGCAAACGTGAGTTTGCGGAACTCACAACGGAGCACGGGTCTACGTTGCCTATATGTAGAAGCTATTTGGTGATCCCAAGTGATTCGACGAGACACTGCACCACTTAGTATTGATGGCCAAATGTGCAGTGTTTGTGAATGGGAAGTGGCGATGAGGCAAACACAATGCCAGGGTAGCTCGTCACTGAATCGTAGATGAGATAGGGGGAATTTAGACCAAGATGCACTACAAATATTTGACAGTATGTTTAAGTAATCTAGATTTGAAGTTGGTTTAACTATTCTTTGGGTCTTTCGGTAAAGTCACGTAGATAAGTAAAAATAAAATAACAAAAAAACAAAAAAATATGTTTCGATCACAACACAAGCGGTCGTAATCAGGAGGAAAGAGGAGGAAAGCTGCTCAATGTATGTTGAACTAACACTGTGGCAGTGTGCTACAGAGCCTATAAAATGCACTTGTGTTCATGGTAAAATGTCACCACATGAACGGGCATGTGCAACGCACATATACAGGAATGTCCCCGTTAAATTGTCTATTTTATAGGCAATCAAGTCCAGAACCTTGCGTGCTCATGTCATCACGATGCAATTAAAAGAAATGCGTGTTCATGTTAACAGTTCTAATTCCCCCACAGTGGGATGTTGCGAAAACGTGACTCGACACAATAAAAAATAACGTGCTTCATGTAAGTGCTTTGCTGCACTCCTAAGTATCCCTGTGCAATCATTTCTGGTACATAAAGTCAGGAACAGACTCAGAGACAGTGGTGGCACTAGGCACAAGCAAAACTAAGCCAATATTCAGGACACTAGGCAGCTCAAGCAGCATCTAATTAATGAAACAAAAATGTGGATGAACCCAATATCAGCTCAAAATCCAAATGTCAACAAAAGAAGCTCATGGCCATAACAAGAATCTCTCTCATCTTTTTCTTATCCATATCTCTCTTTCATCCAAGGCCACAATGTGTCTATTGTCTACATCTCAAAATTTTCTACATAGTTGCCTCATCTGTGTCTCAATTCTCTCATCTCACTCCATCCGTATCTCTTGTCCAAATCCCTCATTTCACGACATCGCTCTCTCGTCTCTGATTCTCTTCTCAAATGTCACTTCATCTTTAAAATGTGTCCAAAATGCTCTCCTCTAGCGACACCTCCATCTCGTGTCTGTATCACTGCTGTCATCTCACTCGGAGCCATCTCACTAAAGAAGGGGGCCCCTTAAAAAGAATGTCTGTGTGGGCCCCCAGTGGGTCAGCACAAACTCTGCTGACTGAGAGAGAGAGAGGGGGCACGACATTTCTTTATTTTTCCCACATCCAGGTGGAACGGTACTGGCTCATGTCTTCCACCCGGATGAGCCCAACGCAGCCCTGTTGGACTGGAATGATCAATGGGGACTTGTGATTAAAATCCCCCGTGGCCCCCTTCATGACCCGTGCCGCCTGCTTAAGAGCTGGGCCAACTCTGGAACCGATCGTCAAAGGTTCCACATGGGTGCAAGGTGCACATGCTACAACGTCACCCACTTAGTCCCAACGTCTTGGCTGTGGTCCTATTAAATCACGTGGTGTACATTTGACGAAGATCAACGATTATAACTAAACGCAATCTCACCTCAATGTAAAATAAAGTGTGTTTAATGTTCAATTCCCGACTCGTGGCTGTGCTAGGATATGGATGTACGTTGAACTTATTTCGCACCGTACGTAGCCAAACCCCATGCTTATCGGAGGTGCGGGGTAGAAGGTGATGCAGGGAGTGTGCCGAGCCCACTGAGCATCATATGACTCATGGAATAATGGAACACGAACCCAGGCTCCAGTGTTCATAGCTATGAGGCAACGATGCCCTCACCTGCACGCTGTGTAACAACCTCGTGTACGAGCAACAGTATTTTCGTTTGGTTATGAAATAAAATACTTTCTCTTAACTTGTTTCGTGTTGTCACATGCAAAGACAAAGATCCCCCAGTATAGGTATAATAGACTGTTCGCGAGCTCCTATGAAGGCCGGCACGTCACACGAGGGGGTGGGTGGCCAACACCACACGCGGCCGCCTTTGTCTCCCCAGTGGCGATGTTTACACACCGCATCAGGTACTCATTTGAGGCTGAGTCGACCTAGGAGACTTCCAGGACCGGTTCAGATAATCGTCACTGGTGGTGGCCGTGAGCGGGAATCGAACTCGGGTCGCCGGGTTCGTAGCGCAGCGTAGCGCTAACCGCTCCACCACTACTCCCCACTACACCTATTGTCACAGACACTTTTGGTTCCTCCAT